ATGAAAGATTCATTTTTTACCCTAAATAAACCACCAAACTTCCTATAAGACATTTACTTATTGTTCCACTAACTCAAAAAAAAAATTTTCAAAGTGAAGATATTTCTAAGGTCACATTGATAATATAAGTAAATACTTTATTAAATTTACTTATTTACTTAGATACTTAGTTGGCCTGATTTCACTTGTCGTGCAGGCCACAGCACTGTTTACGCTAGCGTCATCCACGAAGATGGTATTGAGCTGCGGCGGCGACGTTCGAGGTCTAATCCATTACTCGTTACCAGCTGAGAATACAGCTGGTCCATCCGTGCAACGAACACGTCAGCCCATCTGGTCGATGGCCTCCCTCGAGGACATTTTACTTCGCGAGGAATCCATTCCAGAGTTCTTAGTGTCCATCTGTCGTCTGTCTCATTATATGACCAGCCCATCAATACATTTCCTTAGAGAGGTATTCCGCTGGATCGCGAAGACGAGACATTGATCTCATATCTAGACTGCGAAGTCCGACGAAATGTTGAGTGCGTTGGTCCAGAAGGCTCGTTCCAGTGCTCTGTGACGTAGCCAGTCATGCCACGTTTCTGCTGCGTTGCAGAGCGCAGGGAGAACAGTTCAGTCGAATAGTGGGTTCGGAGCTTTGGGTCCTTCAGCTGGTTTGTGGCTTCCTTTAGGGGGCCCGAAGGCGGATCAAGCTGCTCTTTGCCTCTTGTTTAGTTCTTCTTTCAGATTGTTATGTTCATCGAACGCCCGAGATACGCGTATGAAGAGGTCTCCCCCATTGGAGAGCCTTCTAATTCTATTTCCTAATCTTCGCCAAAAGCGTTCTTCATGAACTGAGTCTCCTTACGGTTGATTCGCAGTCCTATCAGCTTTCCTACTTTGTTTAATTCCTCCAACATCGTCTCTGCTTCAGTGATATTTCTTGAGAAGAGAATAATGTTGTCCGCAAAATGAAAGTTCGAGAGGAATCTCCTATCAACTCGTATACCTCCCTCGTTTCAATCCAGTAGTTTCATCACCTGCAACGCGGCGGTAAACAGCTGGCGACACGGTGTCGCCTTG